GGCGTGCCACATGCCCCGCCAATCTCATTCTTCTCGACTTAATCACCCTGACAATACTGGGGAAGGAGTACAGATTTTTAAGTTCGTCATTATGCAGTTTTCTCCATGCCCCATCGTCTTCTCCCATAGGCCCATATATTCTCCTCAACACCCGATTCTCAAACACCTGCAATCTGTGTTCCTCCCTCTGAGTGAGAGACCATGTTTCGCACCCATACAAAACAACAGGCAAAATTATTGTTTTGTATATTTTGTTCCTCTTTCGTAATTTTAGTACGAATAATTTGGGTTCTATAATTGTCTGGTCCGGAAAGAAATGGGTCGACATAATGCCCTTCAATCGTGAGCAGAGAAAATGTGCCAGTCCGTGAAAATCAAAATCCACGCTTCACGACAGACCCCTTATGGAATGAATGGTGTGCCAGTCAGTGAAAATCAAAATCCACGCTCCACGACAGACCCCTTATGGAATGAATGGGCGAGTAACAGATGAAGCCTTGCGGGGGGGAGATATTTGAAAAGACTCGACCTAGGGAGGGTCATCGTAATCCACGGACGACGTTGACGAAGAAGGTGAATGCGGTCGTAGAGGAGAGAAGATTTGCTCGAAAAAATATACCAATATTGCGTCTTGCATTTATTTCCTTCGAGTTGATAGTAAAATGTCACTAGAGGAAATAGGCAACTTAAAAAAAAAGTTCTGTTCAGCAGACAAGCAGTCCAAAATCTACAACAAGTACAGATTGGCAACATAGTTAATTTTTGTCCATGTTGGTAGCACTGAGAGTAGTGCTCACAAATTAGAGGACATTTCCAATACCCTTTCTTGTAAGTAAATGTTTCGTTTTATACTGAAGAGAATTTCTCCGAACACCCTGTGTTTGATGAATCGACTGGCAGTGACTTAAAAAAATATATCATCCGTCTAAAATTGCTTTCCAACCTCTGACCTCTCACTCAACAGTCAATAACAAGCCAAATCTTTCTCGGCCACCCCTGACACTTTTTCACTCCACCCTCTGTCGCTGTTTGCAAACACCTTGTCGACTGTGCCTGCAGACTGTCGGCAAACACCATCGTTTCGCGTCAATACATCCCACTGATCAACCTGTTCCAAAGACCATGCACGTCGTAGAGTGAAGGTGTGGTTGGAATTTGCGCAGATGATCTCTTGACAACAAGGAAATTAGAGGATAGGTCTGGATAGCTTCAGAAATTCTCTCCGAATGACACTAACCGATTCTGAAGTGCTGGTACAAATGACTGCAAAATATCACGAAAGGATAATAAAAAAGTATCGACCTCAATTCCTCCCTCCACTCGATTAATCGTTAGTCTTAAGATATTTCGTCGGTGGCGAGTCATTTATTGGTCTTATGTACACGTACATGTAAACGTAAAACCTCCTAACATCAGATAAAATAAAGATAACCCCGTTTTTACATGCAACATGTGACTTTTCTCGAGTTTCTCAGTTTTCAGCAAAACTGTAAAAAAAAAATTTAAATTTAAATAATTTCACACGCCGCCGAAAAAAATTTCAATTACGAACATTCAATACCCATTTCGGTTAATAACACATCATCTTTTAACTTTATACACAGCATTATAAATAAATAAGTTTAGACGTGACAGAAGTAATTATATTTTAATATTTTCCGTCAAATCACAATTTTTTAATAAGATGATAAAATATAAAATATTTAAAATATCATTTCACGTTCCGCATCGAATGATCGATTTACAAATTGGAACGTTTTTGTAAATCGATCATTCGATGCGGAACGTGAAATTATATTTTAAATATTTTATATTTTATCATCTTATTAATAAATTGTGATTTGACGGAAAATATTAAAATATTAACTTAACTCACAATATACTACCTTAAGAAGTAATTATATTCGTAGACTATTTCGATTCACACTGTACAATATAAGGCAGATGGGGGGGGGGGGGGGA